TAACTCGGTGATTAATATTTTAGAAATATTTATACACTAATTTTTCCAACTTGTATGTACTTTAACAGAAGTATTTTCAAAAATCAATTTAATTTTCAAACGTAATTTTTTTAAGGAATTATTCCTTTTAAATTGTCATCTCTTGATCAGCTTTTCTTTTGATTAATTAGTTTTAATCGAACATAATACAATAAATTTTCTAGAAAGAAAAAAAACAAATTGCATTTTTTATGAAATAAATCATGACGCAATAAATAATTGCAATTTGTAAAATATGTTATGCTTATTGAAATGAGCTATAATATTTTTCAGCTAAATAAATCTTCTGATATTTTTGAAACAGATAAATAAATACTCGATAATTTAATCTAACTCTTTCTTAATACCAATGTAAATGAAATATTTAAATATTCTTGCTAAATCAATTCAGAAATAATGAGTGATTTTATTTCTTTCATTGCAACAAATATTAAATAACTGTTACTTTCTTCTTTTTAACACCGTAAAAACTTCCGGATCAAATTACGGTATAAAGACGTACGGTATAAAGGTTACGGTATAATGATTCATAAAATTCATTTTTTCAGTAAAATATTATGCTGTAATTTTTACAGTAATATTTATTTAATAAGATTGATTCAGTGGTTTTAAGGTAATTATTACTATAAAAAAGTACGGAATATCAGATGTTCCGTAACATGTTTCGGTAAAAATGGATTTTACGATTAAAGTACCCATACTTTGTACCATAATTTAATCCAAATAATTTTTACAATATACATTAGAAAACATGATTGAAATAATACTCGATTTCTTGAATGTTGGTTTAGTATCCAAAAGTAATGGGATAAAATAAAATAGGCAGTAATCGATTTATCTCAGTGCTTAAAAAAATTTTTTAATTATTATGTTTTTATCAATATTTTCAAACGTGTTTGCCTTATTGTAAGTTTTAATTATTGATGTCAAGTTTTATTTCTAAAAAAGTTTAATGTTTATAGTAGAACAGTAAATAGTATATAAAAAAATTTTAAAAATTAGTATTAAATTTATGATTAGAAGAAGAAGGAAATTTTTAGAGTTAGCTATCACTTCAAATTTAGAAGATTACGTCTGAAAAATTTTAAACTCCTAGTTATTAAACTCAACATTATATAGATTTCAGGAGGTAATTACGATTTCACATGTCTCCAAAGCTAATTAAAGCAAGAAATATTTTGAATTGCGCTTATTTTTAGAGGAATTACAAAAACGTCAAAATAAGTCATGTCATAGCTTTACAACGAAGTATTTAATAATTATTTTGTTGGTATATTAATACTATTATAATTGCTGGTATAATAAATCTATAACTCTCTTAAACAATAAAAAAAAAATTATTAATCTTGTGCTTATGTAAAATTATAAATTTAAAAAAAAAAAAAAAGCTTTTTGTATTTCTGTAAGGAAAAAAGTATTCAAAATTTTTGTTTTATTTCACTTGTAGTTTTTGTGAGATTAATTTTCATCTATGCAGCAGTGGTGTTATATCATTATGAAAGTCTCATAAATCAAACCGTTAAGTTAATTTATTTAATTTTATAAGTCAAGTTAATTAATTAATGATTTCAGTATCTTAGTAACTCAGTTTTGTTTAAAAAAAACATCATGTTTATTTAGTTATTTATTTCATTTGTTCTTCAGTACTTTCACTGTTGAATATCACAATGCAAATACTGGTGAAAAGTATGTCTTCATATTTAACAATATATAATGCGATTTATAAATTTTAAAGGCGCAATCCGCTTAAAATAATCCTAAGATTTTACTTTATAAAATTTTTAAGCTATTAAAAATAAACTGAAAAATTAAATTTCATTTGTAAAATAAAATAAAACAAAAATTCATACTAAAACATATTTATTAATATTTACTTTTTATTGATTGACGCACATTAACATAATTAAGACCATAAAAGTTTAGAAATAATAATATAAGTTTAGAAATAAATATAGGTTATTCTCGAGTTTTTTGAGTAAATAGTAATACTTCTTTTTCCTTTTTTCTTTTTTTTTTATAAATAGTATGAATTACTATAAATGATTGCAAACTAAACCTTATTTAGAGCAATAAATGAAATAGAAAGTATAATAAGACAGATCTATAATCTTTACTCTTTATTGATTGGTACTTCAAAACAGTAGAAATATATTCAATAGTAGAAACAGTTCAGAAAAAAATATTAGTTCAAAAAAGTATGAAAGCTCTTGATTTATCACTCATACTTTTTTAAAAATTGATGAAAATTTAAGCTAAATTTGTTAAATTGAATAAGATAGAATCTGTGTTCCTTATTTTTCACTCTTTATAGATTGGTGATCAAAATTGCGGTAAGAAATTCCATAAATTTCAAACAGAGATAGTTCAAACAAAACTCTCAAAGTTTATTGATTTATTACTCATACTGTTTAAAAATAGGATGAAATTTTAAACTAAATTTGTTAGATTAAATGAAATCTATGTACCTTATTGCTGATGTACCTCCTTGCTGATTGCTGGTTCAAAATAGTAGAAAAAAAATTCCATACACTTTTAAAAGAAATATTAGTTCGAAGATTGAATGAAATTTTAAACTAAATTTGTAAAATAAATGAAATAGAGAATAGAATCTTTGTTCTTTATTCTTCATTCTTTGTTTGATTGGTGCTTAAAAAAAGAAGTAGCAAATTCCATTAACTGCCGAAGGAAATATTAGTTCAAAAGAACTCTCAAGGCTTTTTCATTTATTGCTTATACTATTTAAAAATTGGAAGAAAATTTAAACTAAATTTTTTAGTTTAAATAAAATAGGAACTAAAATATATGTTCCTTATTTTTCACTTTATAGATTCGTGCTAATCAGTATGTTTGGTGCTTAAAAATAGTAGTATCAAATACCATAAACTTCAGAAAGAAATATTTGTTTACAAAACTTTGAAGGTCTTTGATTTATTTTTCTATTATTTAAAAATTGAATGAAAATTTAAACTAAATTTGTTAAATTAAACGAAATAAAATCTATATTCCTTATTCTTCATTCTTTATTGATTGGTGCTTAAAAATAGTTGTAACAAATTCCATGAAGTTTAGAATTGTAGTAATTGTAGTATCTTATGTATGTTACGATCCCTCGTTTACGACAAAAACACTCATTACCAATTCCCATTTTTACGATTACGATGCCTCATACATTCATGGCGATTTTATTAAGCAAAGGTCTGGTCGTTAAATTTCAAATTGTTGCCACTGTCACGTATTAAATGTTTTATTTTAAAAAACCTCATGGTTTTCACTATTAAACTATATTCTAATGAAATCATTTTGCTTATAACTAGAAATAAGTACTAAATTACAATACGTAATAAGCATAAGTTAATTACATGCATTTTATACATTGATTTATTCCCGTAATGAGCAGGTGTCAATAAATTATAATTAAAAAACTCCGCAAAAACAAGAGAAAGAAAATTATTTTTAAATATCACCACAATGTCATAAACTAATATGAATAAACATGTGTAAATCAGCTATGATTTCAGCTGATGTTTATTGTATTTTAATATAGTAAAATACCAGTTTTAATATAGTAAAATGCTAATATAATTAAAGAAATGCTTGTTGTTCTGCGGAAAAATACTATATTCCACGGATATTTTAAGAATGAAATACAGTTTTAATATCATTCTACCAAAAAAGCTTCCTTAAATGATGAACTTTGTATATCTCCATCGTTCATTGTAGATAGGTATATTTTGTTAGTACCTTTTCGAGATTTTCTTAGGCAGATACATTGTCAAAACTTGAAATTATCAATTTAAAGTTAATATGTTAAGTTAAATCAAATACTGAAATTCAGCATCATTTTTCTAACAATATGCATACATTTTTTTTTTAATTTCATTAAATTTAATGATAGACATATATTTACAAAATGAATTTTCAAATATTGCATCGAATTTTAGATAATTAATTTATAAAATTTCTAGTTTCTTCTATATGAAAAGAAATACCACATACATTGTATACATTAAAATGTATACATTGTGCAAATTTCAACATTCATTCCTCATTATCAGAGATATTCTTCCTTTTATGCTTTAGATCAATAATTTTTTGTGCACATTATACTACTATAATGGCATAATTTCAAATAACTACTATATGGCTATGCTTTAAATTTAACTAAATGAAATTTTTTTTAAAAAATCATGCTTAATTCAAATATCACAGGAGAAGGACATATAATGTGATATATTATTTTCAATCATATTAAATTTAATTAAACATTTCTTTTTTCCTAATATAATTAAATTGTTGAAATGTTATGAATATAATTTTTACTACATTAAATTATTTTTTATCAATTAATAATTATATACAGGCTAACTTATACTGAGGAAATTCAAATCTTTGCTTGGTAAATCAAATACGGAATAATTAAATGAAGAAATTACTAAAAAAAAAATTTCTGTTAAGTTGATTAATTTTATGCATTTTTTGAATCGATTAAAAAACAGTTCGTTTTTCCGTCGAAACATTTTTAAATTTTTTTTTTACTAATTTTTATAATTTTGTTACGATTCAGTAGTGTAAAAAAGTAGCAATAGGACAAAATAGAAGTATTATATCCATCTGTTAAATAATAAATGATAATTAAAGGGGAGAAATATTATAAAAATTTTGAAAGAGCAAAGAGATACTTTTAAATAATGTAATTCAAAATAAATAACTATATGAAAACCGTTTGTTTTATTACAAAAATAACAAACAAAAATATATTTTCTTAAGAAAATATATTTCTAAAGAATAATTCAAAATTTTAAAACGTTTTATATTTATAATATTTAATTATTAAACAGGATTTTTCTGTTTTTTGAAGTAACTGGAGTAAATTAAAACCTCAATTTGGGATCACTGTTTACTATTTTTTGCGCAACAATTTGCAATGCATATAACACTAATATATGATATAACGCACATACCTGTTCCTGACTGGACGTAGGTTGTTGGACAATGAACATCGGTGGGAAAACTACGAAGTCCATAGGCATCTGATTGTGGATAAACAGTGTCCATCGCAGCTCTAGATCTATCTTCTGCCGTAGGAAAATAAGATACTGGCTGGGGTGTGTGTGGTTCCATATGCCCTGGATGGACCCTGGTGCCTGAATATGGAGAATAATTACACCATGTTTGTGGTGCAAATGATTGACAGGCGTCCGTTGGTACTGGTGCTACAGTACTAGGGCCCGCATCATATGAATTAGACCAGAATTTGATAGAAGTTTGTGGTGGTTTCCGGTCTATTGTGTTGTAGTAATATCCGGCTGCAACACTGTCCCGGACATTGCATAAGGGTTGATGGTTATACTGGGGCACATGATGGGCATCAACGAAGGCAGAATGTCCGTCCGGTGAATAAGTGGCGCCCCAGCTACCCGCCGGCTGTCCGTTGTGGCCTCCGTGACGGATGACTCCTGACGCCGTGTCACCGCCGCAGTCGGTCGGGGCGGCGTAGGTGACGGCCAGGTTGTTGCTGCTGTTAGGGGTGAGTCTCTTGGCAGGGATATGCAGGGGCTGTTGCAAGCCAGTTGATGACCCGTTGTTGGGGGTAGCTTCACCGCCGCTGATTCTACTAGTGTTAGATTCTTCGTATAATCCGCCACTGCTGCCGTTCATACTCTCACCCGTACTGCTTGGAAGTAAGGAGGGGCGTATTGAGGCTTCAGTGGCTGTCTGAAAACCTTCCTCTTCTGTAAACCTATTATATTATTTGGAAGGGTGGGATAGGTAAAAGGGAGGAAGAAAAACAAAAATCACTTAATCAGCTAATCATAACATCAAAGATTGATTTCCAGTTATTGCATATAAGTAATATCAAAATTCATATTTCTTTTCAATTCAATTTCTTCCAATACTTCTTAAAAACACAAGTAGTAAAAAATTTAAGAAACAAAGAAAGAAAGAAATAAAATTTAAAGACGATATATCCAATATTAACATAAAACCTCACCAATTGATTTTCATCTTTCTAATTTTATTTCCGGAAAATTGGATCAAATTGGGAGCTTAACTCTCCTGTAGATTTCTTAATTTGAGTTCCATGCTCCCCACTAGAGGAGGTATAGCCGGCTTCCACATTTATCTCAATTCAATAACACACTTTAAAAATTTCTAAATAACTATTCACATTTGTTTAATTGAATTAAAATTTCAAACATTATTTATAATCATAACAACGAAACACAATAAATCGGGCCCAATAAAATGTATCGGAGAGTTATTGACGAATCCGCGAAAGATGTTGATAGCGAAGTGGTTCATCTGAAAATTTCCGCGTGTTTTTACCCTGAATAGAAATCTTATGTGAAAGCTTCGTCACATGCGTTTCTAAGAGTCTCTAAGGGGGGTGAAAGTGGTTGGGGTGGGGGAAAATCTAGAAAGGGGAACTGGACTATCGTTCATTCTACAGCCTCCGCGCCTCACCAAACAGCAGAAACGATAGGAGAGAGCGTTTCGCTGGATTTTGATTGGCTCGATTAGGTCATGTGACACAGCTGCTCATGCCGGGGGGATGTAAATACTACCTAGCCATGTGTAGTAGAAAAGGCTTTTTAAGTTACCGACTAAAAAAAGAAAAGTAATGCAATTATTTGGCGACAATTTCGGAAAATGGAGCATTTGATTTAATCTAAATGCAATTATTGAAAACTATCTGGAAAGATTTATCTCGAACAAAAGAAAATAAATGAGTCTCTAGAATGTTTCATTAATACGTGAAATATAACTTTAATTTGTGAAAGAGATAAAATTTGAAAATGTGCCGCAGTGTTTCATAGTTAGAAAACAATCTAAAAAAGAATTTTAATAATTCGCCTTTTTATGACACTTTAATTTTCCCCAAAAAAATGTTATATCCGCTTAATGAGAACGCTAAACACCCATTATATTTACTATTATATGCTTATTTGGTATATCTTAACACACACGCTCTTTACAATCCGTAAAATTGACGCAAATAAGAAAGTATTTTGATTCAAAATATAGAAGAAAATAATTTGATTCGTGTAAATAGTTTTAAAAAAATATTTGATACAGATATAAAAAAATTTTGGGACAGAGATTAGAATTTTTGATGTCAATACCTTTAAACCTATAGTACTTACGTTTTACAAACTACTTTTTTTTAAACCCCTCTCCCCTTATAAGTAAATTATAAATCCCCTCCCATTTTTAATTTCTTGTTTTTTGCCTTCACTTTAATCTAAAATTCAATTTCATTTAGAAGAGGAAATTTTGTATGAAACAAAACATTAATTCATTTTATAAAACTTATCAAAGAATCACTTTTCTATATTTCCCATCCTTTATTTTAAATTTTCTTCTCAGTAATTTATTTCCACGTATTTTGTAAAGCTTTTCTTTCTATTTTTTAAAAAAAAAATAGGGGATTTTAGGGTTTTACCTAATCGCTAATATTCTTTCAGTAAAAATTAAAAAACTACCCCCACTTATTGATGGGCCACTGATCCATGTTCTTAAACCATTTATTTAGAACTACTTAAATATTGAAATACAAGAAGTTGGTGTTATTTAAATGAAAAAATATTTTTAATTTTTTTGAATTTTATTATATTTTACAGGCAAAATTTCGATGACACACCGCCTCCTAAAGAGTCTCCCAAAATAAACAAAATTAGCTTTAAATAGACAAAATTAGCTATAAAATGTAAACATTCAAAATAATTCAAATAACTATTATTTTGATTTAATCGCTCTATTTAAATTTTGTTTTCATTTTGAAAATTTTTATTTCTATATTTCTTCCTAATTATTCAGTGAAGAAAAAAAATAAACTTTTTTTTTTTCGAAAAAAAACCCAACTTGAAATGCTGTATTTGCAATGAAATATATTGCCCGCTTTCATCTATACATAAAAAAGTCTTTAGCCAGAAGTGATTTACATAATTTCAATAATACTCTTAAAAACGTTAAAACACCAAAAAATGTGATAATACACCAAATGTCATTACTTTCAACTTGATTTTAATCCTTTTGCTTTTAAAGTATAAATAATCAAGTAGTAGAAAGGCGTGTATAAGATTAAATATTGAAGCATTCTTCTTATTTATTTTTTAACAAAAAATTTAATATTCAAAGCAAAACTAGCATTCAAGCTAAGTTTTTTATTTCGATCAGTGAACTTCCAATCTTACTAAAGAGGGAAAATGTCACTAGTGCTGCCATCTAATAATATTTTCTACAACTACACATATGAAATGAACTCTAATTAAATATTGAAGTTTTATATTAGTACTATTCTTCCTGAAACTGATTTATAAAAAAACACAATAAGATAGAATCTAGAGCTTTTAAATTTCATGAGGCTTCTCAAATTCAAATATGAACTAAATAATAATTTTTAAATATATAAAAAAAGTTATCCATTAATAAGCAAATAAAATTATAAGTTCTGCATAATAAATTAAAATGCGTTTAGACTAAAATTTTAAATTTAAAAGAGAAATTTGCTGCAGTTTTACATACAGGTTACCCTCATTTCTATCTTACATGATAGCTGCTTTTAAGAGCCAGAAAACTTTTTTTTCTAACATCATTTCGTTGCGTAATTTTATTTATTATAAAAATCCAAGTGAAATCACAGTTTTAAAAGAAGTATAAAATCATTTTCTTGGATTTTTTTTTCAAGAAAAACGAACGAATATTATTTATCGCAACATGTTTTTTATACACTGATTGTTTTTTTATTCTGAATTATTGCAAGCAAAGCTTTTTGAATTATTAGTAGTATATCTTTTTTAGGTCAAAAATGAACCAAAAAGAAAATATTTTCACAAGATTTTATAACAAATTTACTTCCTTTTGTACTTTCTGAATTATTACTGGTATAGTATATGTAAGCCAAACAGAAAAAAGACATGTTCACAAGATTTAATTTCAAATTTACTAACTTCGATATATTTTGAATTACTGCTGATATAACATTTCTAAGTCTAAATGAAGAAGAAAATTTCCACAAGATTTAATTACTAATTTGCTAGTTTCTATACTTGCTTTCTAACTCCTAGTTAACTTAGAAATATTTAAAGAACTAACTATTATTTTTATTTCAACTAGGAAACCTATATTATAGCAAAAAATAATGTATAATAACACTGCATTGCAACATTTACTCCCTTAATAACCTTGATTGGCATGACTGTTTTATTATTATTATTATTATTATTATTATTACTACAATCAGAACAGTATTACAATCAGCCTGCCTACAGCTTCAGTATTGACAACACAAAATAAAAACAAAAAAAGAAGAAGAAGAAAAGAACAAGAATTGGGAGATATTTATTTGCTTATCCAGCGAAATTCATCATGAGATAACTAATGCATAATTTGAAAGTGGTGAAATATTATAAAGCGCAGAAACCACGATAATTTTTGTCCTCATAATGAAACCACGTGACACGTAGTAGGAATAGAGGGAGGGAATATTTTCCAACCCTTCGTTTCTCCTTGTTATTTCAGTGGAAGAAAATTGATGATGGAATTTTAAAGTTAAAGATCTTAAAATTTGCTTCATTGTGTCGCATTTGGTGGCCCTGAAAAATTTGTTAAAGGAGGACCTTAAACATTTCACAGTTAAATTAATTTATCACTTTTTGAACTACAATTGTTTTATTTATTGTATAAATGAACTTTTAGAATGTTCTTCCTTTCCTTCAAGCATCATATTAATCCCGATTATTCCATTTTATTCGTTATAAAATTCACATCTATATTTTCCAATCTCTCTAACACATAAATATAAACGAAAAAGAGCATAACTTAACCATAAAGTAATGATTATATAGAATCATTCATTGTTAATACATAATTCTTTTTAATTTTAGTACTAAAGAGTAGTAATGTGAAGTTATGGCGACATTGTTATGTCTCTTACCTTCTTCGTTTAATTATAATTATAATGTTATTAATTAATGTAAATAAACAAAGAAGGTAAGAACTGTACATATATATATATATANAAAATAAAAATAATTTTTTTTTTAAAAAAATATTAAATAAAAAGTTACTATAAACATTTAACTAGGTAGAACTACAAAAATCATTAAAATAACATTTAAATTGTTCAACAGGCATTAAAAATTATTTTGTGCCACAGACGTAGGGACGTCCACGGAGGGGATTTTGAAGTCATGTTTATTACAAAATAAGAATGAAATATTAAATACATTTAGCAGAAATGCATATGATTTGTTAGTTAAGAACTTCACGAAAAATGATAAAGAAAAATATTAAGAAATCTGCTGTATTTCCTAATATAATTAACTTAACTACTCAGGGACTTAAAAAATCACCTTTTTGTGAGAATGACCCTTATTAGTTCTTCAATGGTATCGTCCTTTTCAATTGAAATCGTCAGAATTTTCTTAATTGCAATAACACATGGAAAAAATCAGGAATACTATGAGAAGTGTTTAACCTTATAATAGCAGGTGTAAATTAAGAATAAAATCAAAAAGTTGCAAGGCAGGAGGTGAATTTTCTTGAGGTGATGTAGCATTTTTTCCCCCTCAATTTCTATTTCCTTTACCTACTTTCTTGTCATGTCTAAAATTCCTTCGTTGTAGTTTCTAAGAAGTTTGGAAAAATTCCGAAACTATTGTTATATTAAGACACTCTTATTTCATAACTAAAATGTGACTTATACCTTATAATTATATACAAGAATAAGTAATAAAAAGGAACAAGCTTTAAAAAATGAAAACATTTTAAATTAATTGTAGTTTTTTTTAACATATATTGAACATTATTAGAGGAAAGTTTTATTAAAATAAGTTATAACAAAGATTAAAACTAATAATGAGTTTTTTTACTGATTCATTAATTAGGAATTAGTTTTTATTTACAATTTTAAAATTTTGAAGTTTAATAAGAAAAAGATTTGATCTTTTACTTCTATAATTAAATAGGACATTTGTTTTGCAAGTGAAAAATTTTAAAAGTTTAAACCATTTTTAAAATTTAAAAAGAACCCATAAGTTCTTATCACAAGATACTTTTTTACCGTTTTTTTAAGAAAATTCGAAAAAAATTTTAATCGGATTGCACTTTTTAAGCTTTCCAAGATCGTGTCTCAATGATTCGGAATCCACTATATGCCACAATCCTAGCAGCTTCAGAGTCCACGCACGATTTGGCGGTGGGCAGCTTGGTGCGGAACCCGTTTGAATACCTACACCATCAGCTCTCATTAAGGGCAACTCCAAGACCTTCACAAATAGCCCTAGAGCGATGCTAACTACAACCACTTACATTTTTGGTACCAAGTCTCATACCATCAACTATATTTTGCAATCATGTCAATCTGTGAGAAATAAGCAATTTATTACAGTTACAACAGCAATAAGGGATCTAACTACCGAATCAAGGTACCGATCAGG